AAGAGGTGGCTCATCGCGATTTTTTATTTTCCATTTAAATAACACGGGAAAAAAACATTTTTTTGTTTGTAATTTTATTGCGATTTAACGAATTAGTGTGTTGTAAAAATCAATACATATTCTTGTAGGGAATTGAACGATCTACAAAAAAGATCTGATATGATTTTTTGCTTAGTCGACTCTTTTAAAAGATATTTGAGGTTAAAGTTCAACCTCAAATAGTAAATGATAGAATTTTTTTTTCGTCATCTTGGACAATATTTTCATGGTAGCTAAAGAAAAGAAAATTAAAAGTTTTTTTTTAAATCAAGTACTTATAGAAAAAAAAATTATTGATATTGATTATTGATATTTCGTAGAAATTGTATTGTTTTACCAAAGAACACTCGATAAACTTCACGAAAAATATGATATTTCATGTTTTTGAGCCAATATTTCGTAATAGAGCATGGAAAACTATAAAAGTCATCATTTACTATTTGAGGTTGAACTTTAACCTCAAATATCTTTTAAAAGAGTCGACTAAGCAAAAAATCATATCAGATCTTTTTTGTAGATCGTTCAATTCCCTACAAGAATATGTATTGATTTTTACAACACACTAATTCGTTAAATCGCAATAAAATTACAAACAAAAAAATGTTTTTTTCCCGTGTTATTTAAATGGAAAATAAAAAATCGCGATGAGCCACCTCTTAATATTAATATTAAGAGCTCAAACTTTAGGAGAATTTTTTTTTCGTCATCTTGGACGATATTTTCATGGTAGCTAAAGAAAAAAAATTAAAAGTTTTTTTTGGCCCACCCTAATATATATATATATATATATATATATAAAAGTTTAAAGTCTCAGGTTAACAGAATTAAAGTGATTTTACATTAAAAATAATATAAATATGGTATATGATATTTTTTTGAATTTTATTTGAAAATATTTGAAATTTTTTATTAGTGTTATTTTTGATAGCTGATGTCTTTGAAACGGTTGATCTGAAGAACTTTGACCTTCAGATGTTTTTTGTAGAGCTTTAAATTGTCTATAACTCCTCTCGCTTGGGTGTTGCAAAAACAAACCATTCCAAAGTTATAAGAATTCAAAATTAAAAAAATAAAAATTCCTGTGTTATTGAAATGGAAAAACAAAAAATGAATTGAGGCAAACCTTAATATTAATATTAAGGGCTCAAATAGGCGCCAAATTTTTTGTTTTTTAATGTACTATTAATTTTTCAACACCATTGGAAAAAAAATAATTGTTAATTTTTTTGAAACACTCTAATAAAAACGAATTAAGGACCACTTTTTAAAATACATGTATCTTTTTTAACTTTTAAGCAACCCTCGTATATTTTTATAGGCTTGTACTCATATTATGTATAATTTATTTTACGTAAACAAACATTTTTTGTTTTCATAACTTTTTGTAGAAATGCGATTTGTTTAAAAAACAGTGCATGTTAACATTTATTGTAAGTCATTTTAGTCGTTGTTGTGCATTGTGATAAGTTCAATAATTAATTAAAATGAATGTTGATGCTCTAGGAAGGCCTCTTCATCAAAGGAGGCATTTAAATCAGGTTGAAGTAGTGACAGCGGTTACTTTATTTCAAGAAGGACATTCGGTTAGAAGTATTGCCCGAAGACTTCAAACAAGTCATTCGGTAATTTCTAGACTTCTTAACAGACATAGAGAATTTGGTTTTATCACTAGAAGACCTTATCCGGCAAGAGAACGAGTCACAAACCCACGTGAGGACCGTAATTTGGTAAGGTTAGCCACCCAAAACCGAGCCAGAACAGCAAGAAACATTGCTGATTTACATTTTGACGCCAGCGAAAGGCAAATATCCACTCAGACAGTTAGAAATAGACTTCATGAAGCCCATCTACGTTCCAGAATCCGAGCTGTTAGGCCCCAGTTAACCCGTGCGCACCGGAGAGCTCGATTAACTTTTTCTCGAAATCATATCAATTGGGATATGGATCAGTGGGGACACGTGCTCTTTTCAGATGAGTCTAGATTTCGACTTAGCCACAACAATGCACGTGTACGAGCATGGAGGCATAGAGGTGAGCGTTATTTAGATTCAACTGTAACAGAAACTGTTCACTTTGGAGGTGGCTCACTTATGGTCTGGGGAGGTATAACTTTAACGGGGCGTACAGGTTTGCATATCTGTAGGGATGGTGTGGTAAATGCTCATAGGTATTTGGAAGATATTGTAGAACCCTATATAGTACCATTTGCCGCAGAAGAAGGTCCACAGTTTATTCTACAGCATGACAATGCGAGGCCCCACACTGCTCATATTGTCACACAATATCTTGAGGAGAATAATATCGAGGTTTTAGAGTGGCCCGCAAACTCCCCGGATCTAAATCCTATTGAGCATCTCTAGGATGTTCTTCAGAGAAGGATAAGGGATCGTCCGGCACCAGAAAATTTGGAACAGCTTGGAGAAATGCTTCAAGAGGAATGGAACAATATTCCCAGAGAAGTAATTAGAAATTTAGTGGAATCGATGCCTAGACGATGTGAAGAAGTTCGGCTAGCCAGAGGAGGACACACACATTACTAATTTTGTTGAAAATATTATTTATAGTTTATTAAAAAAAAAAAACATTTGTGAAAAATTAAAGTTTTATTTTCCAAGCGTTTATTTTTTATTTGATTTATAAAATATATACTCCATATATACTCCATTCATACAGAATTATAAACAAGTTTAAAAGTGGTCCTTAATTCGTTTTGAGTAGTTTATGTATACCTAATGTTTTTTGTAGCTAATTTTATGCTATTTTAAGTCATTCAATTAAATTTAAAATATTTATTTGCAAAATTTTAAAAATAAAAAAAAAATGATTTTTAATTATTTTGTGTATCAAAATAAGTTCAAATAAAAAATAATTTAATTAAAGCCTTGGAATCTACTCTATATAATATATTATTATGTATTATGTCCACGTCGAAATATGGAAAATGGAAAATGGAAAATCTGTGTTTCGCAAAATAGACTGCTAAATTTTTGTACATATTATGTACAAAAATTTAGCAGTCTATTTTTATAAATAAAAGACTTATGATTTTTAATATGCGAAACACAGATTTTCCATTTTCCATATTTCGACGTGGACATAATACGTGAGACGGTCAAGAGAGGAGAGAGTTTGAAAATTGTGACAAAGTGTGCATCACGTTACACCTTTTTTGGTATTATTAATTTAGATCTTTCACCAAAATTTAATGTTTATTTAAATGTTATTAGCATGGATTAAAACAAACTCAGCAAGCTGAGCTTAGTGCTTGCTGCGGGTGGGAATCGCGCCGCGACTGCTCCACCTAAACTGTGTAGTAGTTTTAAAGAGGATTTTTATATTTCTCACATGTCATCTGTCACCTGTTATGTGTCACCTGTCATCTGTAATCTGTCAATTGTCATCTGTCTTCAGTCACCTGCCTTTTGTCATCTGTCATCTGCCAACTATCATCTGTCAACTTGACATCTATCACTTGTCCACAAAGTGTTGCTGGATACTTTATTGGTCCTCCAGTATGTTTTGCGAAAAAAATTAAATTGACTTTAAGATCCATCTTATAAATGAGTTTTATAAATTATAATTTTTTTTGTTTGAGAAATTTTTACAAAAGCTGGCAAAACCGCAAATAAATTTTACCACTTTTGCTATCGGAGGCCGGCGCGATAGGTAATCGCGTTTTGCTCTTTCTAAAATGACAGGCATTACAATCTGTGAATTGAAGACATGAGTGAATAATAAATGACAGGGAACGTTGAAATTGTAATTTAAAATTGCGCTTTTGCACTTTCATAAGTAACGGTAATGGCAGTCACAATCATAAGTAACCGACTTAATTTTAAATGTGACAAATTTTAAAATAGGATTCAATCCAAATTCCCTTGTAATTTTCTAACCTTGAAAGATTAAACGCACAAAACGTTCTGTTCTTAGTGTTCTGGACCTGGACTAGGCGTTCTGTAGTCATAAAAACGGGTTAAGTTTTAAATTTAAAGCCCTTAATTAATGGTTATGACATGTAATTAACTTTCAAATTTTGTATTTATAAATTTTAAATTCCAATTCCAATACTTAAAGAAGGGCAACTTTGGTGATATGTAAGGCCCGGATTTTTAGGTCAAAAAGTGATAAAAGGTTCCTAAATTAGGTGATATTTTTAATAAAATAGGTATTTTAGGTACCTATATTTTATGTACTTATAAGTACATAAAATATAGGTACCTAAAATACCTATTTTATTATGATTTGATATGGACTGACCCATACTTTACAAATTATCTCTAAAACAAATCATTTTATCAAAATTTTATAAGAGACAAATTTTTTTTAACAATAAATGATTACCTGAAAAAATTCCGTTTGGAAGTCATTGGCGCACGTACTAAAAAATAGGGGGAATCAGTGAGTACTGGACCCCCCTATTTTGATTATTTAACAATTGTTTTTTGTTTTGTTGGTCTCAAAAAATGTAACTATTTATGTTGAAGTAGTGTACCGAATTTAAACTTAATATCTTATCAATTACTCGAATTATTAAAAAAAATCAGTTTTAAATTTCAAACTTTGTCGCCCTGTATATCGAACATGAAGCTCTAAATTGAAAAATGGTATTATGGAAGTCTTATTGTTTTAACTCAAGGAATATATGGTTAACGGATTGACCTCCTTTTCCCGGACACCCTGTATATTTGAGTCAGTCAGGTTTGTGCTGAACATTTTAATCAATTAGCTGGGCTACCTACCAAGCTGCAGATGTATGCATTTTATCCGTCTCTATATATTTAGGTACTTTATACAACTATTTATATATCAATTATCAAGATATATGTTGAACACATCGTCATAGTTATAATTTGAAGGTTTAAATAGTACATTATAACACCTTTAATTTTACTTCATCGAGTTCTTGTTTGTAAGGTTTGTGAAGATATTGCAAAAAAGCGTGACTTGTTATATACACTTACTTGAATGGCCTTGATCATTCCGATGTGAGCCGCTCCTCTGGCTCCACCGCCTCCTAACACTAATCCAACGGATTTACCAGTCAGCCATCTTGCTAACCTCGAAAAATCTGAGTGTATGTTGGGGTCTGTGGCGCACACTTTTGAATATAATTCGTTCTAAAATGCAATGCATTAATAAATAAATATTGCCCTCCTAAGTACTGTCCGTTGAGGCTAAGTTGAGCGGTCTAAGGAATGTCACCCCGTCCATCATCTCTATGTTCAGGCACAATTAAATACATGTATTTCGGTAGCCGCTCTGTACGAACAAACGGCAAGCCGCGGCACTGATAAATCATCTTCTTGTTACCGAAATCTCGCGACGATTCGATATTTAATTTAATTAACGGCCACATGATCCCCCGCCAAAGCGCTCAACTTAGCCTGAACGGACAGTAAAAGTGGTTAGCTTGCATAATAACAGTTAAACACTTTGTTAAATAAAAGGACAACATAGGTGAATTCTTACTATTCTATAAAGAGATTTTCTAGAGAACAGCCTGTTGGGACACAGTATGTGATGATGCGACTGTATCCAGGTTCTCATGTTTAGCCAGGCAATTGTGTTGTTCGGTTTTCCGTCCTCCCTGTGCAAAAGCACCAATTCCTTTTGTGTTCTCATCGCCAGCCGTTCGATTTCCTTCTCAACTTTACCCAACGTCGGTTTGTTATCGCCTAAACCGACAATGAGGATGCAATCGGCCTGCCTTATGCATCGCTGCGTCCACGCGCTCACTGTTAAGTCGCATTGGTACAAAGATATTTTGTGCTGGTCCTCTTGCTGCGCCAGCCACGATGACAGGCGATACTCGTTGTTTGGGTCCATAATCGTGGCGCCAAGGGTCTTCTTTATCACGTCCGAGGTCAGTCTTAGAGTCGAACCAATGGCACTCAGGCAGTGGTATAGTTCATAGGAAAATGCTGTTAGTGGAACATCGTCCGACGCAGCCACAATGGCGACCGTTGCAAAATTCATTTGGGATGGGCGACTATCCACAGCAGAGCTGCTTGGGGTGCTCATCGACGGCTTTTTCCAAGAACCTAGTGCGCAGTAGTTGTTTAATTTAATGAAGTATTTTAACAAAACTTTACTTAATTATTCTTTAATTGGGCCTTTTTCTAGTATCGACCATATATTTTTATATTTTAATACGGTAGGTGCCCGGTAGGCTTATCACTGTAACGTGTTATCAGACACGCTACTAAAAATTTACACAAAATGAAATTTTCAAAACTTTTTATCATCATATGTAATTTACCCTCCTCTGCTTTGATGCCCTCGATATAATAAATATAGAAATTATTGACCACGCCGTTACAGAGATATAATTTATTAAAAAAACTTTTAATATATTTAAGAGATGTATCAGAACAGTATGCGCAGTAACAATTATTTCTACATTAATTTTTTTAATATTTCTTGGAAAGGCTGTGGAAAAGTTATCAAGTATAAGAATTTTATGATTTATATTGGTTGAAATGTGTCAAGGTCGTTAAAAACACAGCCAAATTCAACTTTTTTTGTTACAATGACCAGTTTCATCTTCAGATTTTTGGCCCGTATTTGTAGGCATTTTGAGTTTTTAATGGCAATAATAGTTATTAAAAAAGGTCATTATCTAAAAATCGCGATAAGCGTTAACGACGTAAAGCAAATATCGCTATTTAAACACCTTAATTAAATGAATATTTGTGAAGCCAGAACAAAATTAGTTTGTTTACCGGCAAAAAAACCGGCCACCAGAAATTAGTCACAATTTTATTGAAATAGGGGTGCAATTGTTTGAAACAAGATAGTAATAACCATAACAACCAAATTTCAGAGGATCTTATTTAACAAGGTACTTATGCTATTAAGAGAAGGGGCAATATAAAATAACAAAAAAAGAACATTTTGTTTTAAACTGATAAAAATTACGTACCCAATATCCTATGTCCCAATAAATTAATAAGTCTGGTAACGACAATAGGAAATCTTAATTTGATCGCATTAAATAATCCTTCGGGTAATTTTGCCAATTCCGAGTCCCTTACAGCTATTACAGTGGTACTTCTTTTAGTTTGGGTTACCATTTCAACCTAAAAAGAATGATAAATAATCATTTCTTAAAATTCTAATTTAATACAAGAAATTTTAAACTGATCTTTTTATGATAGAGTGTAGGCCATTTTATAGCGACATTATACGTTCTAACATAAGTCACTACTTTAATTCATGACCTATAAAAAATCGATTTAACATTTTTGTATTCTTTATTAAGTTATTTTAAGATGCTGTAAACTAGTGCCTACAAATTTTAAAGAACGCGATTATAAATCCTTATAAATATTATAAATCCTAAAAGACCTACCACTCCTATCAAATCTCCTTTACCATATTCACCGACCAATTCTTTCTTGCCGTTTTTGTGCGTAATAACCGATCTCAGTCGGCCCGAAAGCACGATGTAGGTCGAGTCACTTTCGTCGTCTTGTCTGTAAACGGCTCTTCCCGATTCAATAAAAAGCCAATCCAGTGCGAAATCCACCTGTCTTACGAACGGTGAAAGCCTTTTTACCACCAAATTTGCAATGTATAGAACCACTTTTGGCTGTTCTTTCATCATACTAAAAAGAAAGTATATTAAATAAATGAAAGTTGTACCTGTTAAGTATAAGACTAAGTTAAAGTATAAAGCTGGAAACATAGTTGAACATAGACGTAATGTAGACGATCAAACCGGCTATATCCACTTTAATAAAATGTTGGGAAAATGGCAAAACTCCTGGCCTTTACAGATAAAAGAAAAAGCAAACTTGAGTTTTGTGGACTTTGGAGTACTTGATTTATAAGACATACTTTCGTTTTCAAAAACTTTTTATTAAGGCCAAAATTTCAAAAAATGTTTTGGATATAGCCGGTTTTGCTCAAAAACCGAATAAAAAACGAATAAAATGTGAAAAAACCTTTATTATTCAAAAATAAATTTAGTGTAAACATGAAAAATCAGAACAAATTTTAGTAGTAGTATCGACATATCCAAGCCACATGCTCATCATCATTATTATTTATTGGATATAGCCGGGTTTGCTATAAAAACGTGGATTTGGCCGGTTTTGCTCCTAAAGCTACCTTTTAAATGTGATTTTAACATGGATATAGTTGGATTTAAACAGAATTATCTTGGTTGTCGATAGAAATGAACCCAAAGATGCGAAATCAAAAAAAACCAAAAACTGAATAAAATGGATTTGGCCGGTTTTGCACGGATGCTCCTCAACTATGCTCTGTTGCGCACAGCGAGACAAAAAATTGAATACTTCCGGAATGACATGAAAGACAAACTTTTGAGTACATCTTATTAAAAGGGAAAGTTTGCCGCAGATTATTACACAAGGTAATTTTTTTGCGTAAAGTACACATAAAAATCTCAATTGTTTTTAAAAATGTATGCAAAATTCTTTTATTTAAAAAAAATCAACTCAATAAAATGCTCATTTTATAGTCTAAACATTACTACAGAAATGTGTAAAATTGTATTTAATTACACACAGTGGTTTTAGAGAAATTTAAATTTTACCGTACAGCTAAAAACTATTAAGCGAACCTTTTTTCACAGTCCCTTGCAGTTCTTCACTAATGTAATTATTAAATACCTGTAAAATGTGTTTTTGGATAGCAAAGCGATTCTGGTAAAATGCTTTGCTCTGATTGTAAAGAAACTGGGCTCGCCAGTTATAACTGCCAAACCTCCAACAATTTCTCCAGGATACGCTGTAAACATGTGCACTTCTTCTTCGCTTTCCGTCATTTTTTGGGAAACAATTAAAGCTCCGGATATTATGTGAACCAAAGCCACATCCTAAAAAACAAATAAAGTTAAAATTTGTTTAGGTACAAATTTTGCGGCAGGCCTTTGAATACTCTGGATCCAGCCTCCCCAATACAAATAAGTTTTCTGCTTGGTTCTTGCCCTATTAAAGGATTAGTAGTAAACGTTTGCAATATTTTGTTCATACCTTATTTGAATCTTCTTTCATCAAATAAGTACCAGCTGCAACCTCCCTTATTTCTACTTTGCCTTTTAAAATTGAAGGATCTTCCAGACCCAACTCTTTGACAAACGCTTCAGTTGCTAGCTCGATTAACTCATCCTCATCTATGTTGTCAGGCACAGAATGACGTTTCTTTTGTGTATTTGTTAAATCAGGATTCTTAAACAAATTAATAAATAATTTAAAGTAAAAATGTTAATATACAAATTTTAAATTTGTTGAAACAATAAATAATTAACTTCGCAATCTGCAATACATCTTCATAATTTAAAAAAATGTTTGCGTGTGCGGCGGAATTGTACTTCTAGAAGTATAAATGTAAACCAACAGTTATTTTTTGTATAAAAAAACAGGTACTTTATTCTACATTTTCTTATTTTTTAACCGTATTTTGAAGACGGCTATAGGCATACCTATATGAAATTTACAGAATAAGCTAAACTTTTTATGAAGAATTACTTTTACTACTTAAATGCAAAAATTCAAAAAGACTACAAGTATAATACATGCACTGATGCATTTAGGATATCACAGCGGACAACAATCGGGATTTCCTGGTGAAGTCATGATGATATCACAACGTGATTTTTTTATCACGCTGTGATATCCTGAGTGCATACACATGCTTCATCACAGTGATATCATGTAGAACTCACGGTGTGATATTTGCAAAATTTGCGCATGCGTATGAGCCCTGCGAACTGCGAATTTAAAGTTTGTTATTCACATTACACCGTTATAATTTATAAAACGTTGTTTGAATATCACGAATGTTGTCCGGGTTCAAATAAAAAAAGATATTCCAATGTTTAACAATTATTTTTTTTTATTCAAAAACAGTATTAGTAGTCTTTTTGAATAAAAAAATTAATTTTTAAGGAATTAAACAGTCAACCACGATACCTAATTTTGCCAAATAAAAACTTGTTAAGCAGCTTTTGTTTAGAACTATTTATAAAAATTTGACATTAGTAATATAATAGAACAATGTTATTTTGTAAATAAAAACTTGCAACTGTCCCATCCGTAACGCGTGGAATGGCCGTATACTTTTTCTCTCAATGTACGAATGTGGCGCAAAATAAATATCCAAACACGGATGGCATAAAAAATGACGACATGATTTTGTATGCTATCGGTGTTTGGGCATAAAAAATCACGACATGATTTTTTATGCCATCGGTGCACCGACATGTTTGGATATTTATTTTTGCGCCACTTTCGTATATTGTGAGAAAATGTATGTTAACAATTGTATTAACAGTTTTTGCGGTTAAATACATTTAATATTTTCTTGGATGTAAATTAACTATTAATTTAAATCCAAAAAAATATTGAATGTATTTAACCACAAAAACTGTTGATTCAAGATATATGTAGGTATACTTTTTCTCTCAATGTACGAATGTGGCGTAAAAATAAATATCCAAACACCGATGGCATAAAAAATCACGACATGATTTTTTATGCCATCGGTGTTTGGTCATAAAAAATCACGACATGATTTTTTATGCCATCGGTGTTTAGATATTTATTTTTTCGATACATTCGTATATTGAAAGAAAAAGTATGTTAACAATTAAATTAAGAGTTTTCTTGGATTTAAATTAACTATATATAGTTAATTTAAATCCAAGAAAATATTAAATGTATTTAACCGAAAAAACTGTTGATTTAACATAATTTTTCTATTAGTGTACGAACGTGGCGCAAAAATGATTATCCAAACACCGTTGGCATAAAAAATCACATGATTTTTTGTGCCATCGGTCAATCGCAAACAGCGATGGCATAAAAAATCACGACATGATTTTCATTTCTCATGCAGTGACATCCGGATAATGTCCGTATGAATAAAATTTGTGAAAATAACGACGTGACGTTCGTATGAATATCACGAATGTTGTCCGGGCAGTTATAATTAAATTCACGCTAAGAATAAATAAATGTGTATCTGTATGTAATATTAAATACTACAAAAACTACAACGAATATGAACAAATTTAATATAAAACCTAGCTATACGTTTTAAACGTAATACCTGAATAAAGAGGTTTAATTGGCCGATGAAAATGTTTATTGTGTACTACATTTGAAGTATTGAATGAATTAATATTAGGGCGCAATAATAAGGCCTGAATTTTTTAACAAAATCAAAAATACACAACAATTTTTTATTTTTTTTTGTGTGAATTTTGTATGAATTTATAGCTGCAGTCTCGTCTTTGCACTTGAAGTGTGAGGACGCCCTACGGTCGTTAACGAGATCCCTTCTAAGCAGTTTAAACGATACAAACGCAAGTACCAAAAAATAATCTAATAATCCGGCAATATCGGTAATTCAAAAACCAATAAAACAAATAATAAAAATTAATAAAAAAAAAAAACAATAATTGCGAAAAGTGTGAAAAGTGCGGGTGGCCCCCGGTTAAGCCACAAAGTGCGATAACGTCATAAAAGTGTTCGAGTGAATAAGTGATTAAGGCTAGGCCCCACATCGATAAGCCAACCGGACTACCTGGACACCTGAGAACGCCGCAATCAACGCGTGCCAAAATCTTGCAGGCGTGGTCAAGGAACAACGGACAACCCGTTAAAGTCAAAGCATCAGGATTACAAGCAAGCCTAATTAATCCAGCTTAGTAAGCATGTCTTAATAACAATACCAATTCTATTCTAAAAAATCTACTTCGCAACGTAAATTCCAAGTACCCCAGGCACCAGAAAATAAACAGATGCCTATAAGGACAGACAACCCATAAATCAACCCTTAAATCAGCCAAGGCTATTGTCAGGCCGTATTCCAAAATATTCCGTGCACTTTAGGGCCGGCTTTATCTATTTTGTATATTAATATTTATAATAGTATTTTTAAACTAAATTAAAAAAAAATTAAGAATGCAAAGATATAAATTAAATGATAAACGGTATAACACACTAATTTAACAATAAAATAAATAAAGAATATACAAGGTCGATAGTCGGTACTCGGCATGAGGGTTTGAATATCCAAGAAGGCAGAGGGCACATACGGCGGGTCTTGGTCATAGGGCTCTATGCCAATTACGTACATATTACAATTCTAAAGAGGTTACCAGGAACCGGAAACATACTAGGACACAGACGTTTAGAAGTTTTGCTGTGAATTGGCGGGATACGTAGGAGAACGGAAAGGGGGTAAAATAACCCTGGTAGATTAGTGGAAGATAATGTCACTCATTTATAGCTGCTGTGATAAATAATGTTGATTATATTTTAAAAGCGTTTTTAAACAAAAATGAATATTTGTAATTTAATTTATATTTTTTTACAAATTTATGTATTTCTAAAATATTTAACTTTGTTTAAAAACTTTTTTTAATATAATATATTATGTACCTACATATATTTTCAATGACAATTAAAATATCATAATACCACTGACATACATATTAAAAAAACAAATACCTTTCAGAGATACAGGCTTTTTTTTAGTTTACTTTTAAATGATAATTAAATACTATGACTATGAATAGTAAATAAATAAATAAATCAATTCTTATAGTTACTTCCAATCAAAGAAAACGCAAAAAAAAGAAATAAATACACAGATAATAACACCGATATCAATACAAAATTCGCCTCGTACCCCTCCCACGGAAATCAAAATAAAACGAAAGCTTAGAACATTGGTGAATAGATGGCCACACCTTACATTTTCTGCTAAAACGCTAGGCACAGATATTCTTACTCGCTTGCACATCTTAATCAATGATATTAGTACTTAAAATATTTTTGATATATATTTTTAAGATCCACAACATTTATATATGGGTGATTCTACAAAAGTTCGACAACTTGATGTCATCAGTCAATAGAGTAGTATTTTAAAATTTTTTGTAAATATTTTAGTATATTACAAAAGATCCAGGTTTTTTTAACTTGTCAACCCAATTTTAATGTATTTTTTCAAAAGCACGTTTGTAGAAAAACATAATAAATATTCAAAACATCAGTACCTTGGCGTGTCATAACTCCTGAATCAAATATATTTGATGTGGGTCCCATAATTAATAATTGAGATATCGGTATACCCAAAATCCACCAGCCGCCACTGATGCGTGGTATTATTTGATTTTAAGATAATTAATGTATAATATGCTTAAAGTTGCATTAAATCTTATATTTTCAAATAAATTATGTATTTAATTAGTACCCGTATACTCGTCACTTCCCTTGCATTCAAATTTAGAAAACACAGATATTTCAGAAACTGTTTGAAAAAGTTCTCATAACAAAATACTGTTTAATTTTCTCCGAAAACTATATAAACAAAATGAGGTCAAAAGTTGCCCAACTTTTGTAGAATCACCCATATAGAATTTTTAGTTTAAAGCAATTTAAGGTAAAAATATAAAAATAAATGGTTACTTTGGCGCTCTATCTTTTTACGAACTAAATACACAAAGTTCGGCCTTAAAACAAATATGTTGAAAATTTAAAGCTCTATATTTTTTGTTTTTACACTTTTTTGCCGACCAATAGGAAACGAGATAAAAAGGGGGCATAGAAATTTATTGTTTTACCCTAAATCCAGCCAGTTCGGATTTTTAGGGGGCCGCCCTACCAATTTTTGTAGGTCCAAATTGACTGTCACCCTAATGATGTACATGAAAAAAGTACATGGAAAAAGTGACAAATTTTTGGAAAAGAAATGGTTAAAGCTAAAGCATAAAATATTTCTTTCTCAAAAAAATATTTTTTTCATTTAACAGCTTTTTCCTCTTAGGTCTTTAAATAATAATAACTTTAAGAAATCAAAGGTGAGACACATTGTATATAATAACCCAGAATGATGGAAAGATAAGAATGATTTTAAAAACAAGGAAGGTTTAAGTACCTTTGAAAGCAGCAATTTTTTAAAATTCAATAATCAATTAAGTTTGGACTTTTGGAAGCGTGAATTTAAATCTTTTTACTTAATTAATATCTTACATTATTTGCAGCAGACATTTCGGCATCCACCACCATGTCAGGAGTATTTGGTGAAAACGATTTTGAATCAAAGGACGACCTGCTTCTTCTATGCCCTGGCACAGGAATAGGTTGAGATGTTTCATTCCCATTCGCTCCGTCAGTTTTGGCCTTTTTTAATGGCGATGTATTTATTACACTCGCCGTAGGATTTTTCATTGATCTACCTTTTGGAGCCTAAAAATAATAAATATTATACATTAACAAATAATTACTTAAGGATATAGCGTTGTTCACTTTTAATCCAAATCGGAGCAAGTTTAAAACAATTTTGCATAAAAGATCTAAGAAAGTTTAATTTTTGTTTTGTGCAATACTAAGCAAGTTTTAAAACTGTTTACTATAATTGAATGATTATTAGACAATTTAGACAAACATTTTTAAGAATCTTTTTACAATGTTTTAACACTTTTATAAAGTTTTTATTTATTTTTTTTTAAGATAGTTTTTTAATTTTTTAAATTTAAAGACTGTTAATAATAATACACAGGGTGGTTTAACAAAACAAAACAGGTATTAGCAGTGATTTTTTCAAAAACACTTTAACTTCAGCTTTGAGGGGGACATCTTAATCTTAAATCATTAAATATTTCGCGTCACCCATTCGCACAGTGGTGAAAACCCCAGAAGTTTTAAATGGCATAATAGTAGGACAAGTAATACCTTATTTAAAGTCTTATTCAAATTTAATCCATTCATTTTCGAGATATAAAAAATTGAAGGTACAATAGCCCAATTTGTTTCTTATGACAAATAAAAAAGTAAAGATAAGGAATTTAAGAAAAACCATAATAAAAGCATTCATCGGTATTTTTAGTACACAAAATTAGTTCAGGTTTACAGTATTGTGAAGAGTTAAAATGATCACCTAGTTTTTAAATAGTAAGTGCGGAAATCGTGCAAATGTTTTCTATGAACAACATTTGGGTAGTCATGTGAATGGAAAATTCGTTTTGGAGTTCGTGATGAAGTTCCGAGAAGCGATTAGTAGCGAACAAAAACAGACAGGAATAAAGCTGCCGAGATAGGACGTTTAGGATAAATTATTGCTGACCCAAACTGGAGCACGAGGAAATAAGCCGCAGTTACTAACATTCCTAAAACCACCACATGTCATAAATTTCATCCTTACAAGATTCATTTAGTCCATAAATGAAACGAAGATGATTTTGACTGGAGTTTTGCGAAACTATGACTAAACAAATAGCCATTTAATGGCAATTTGCTATTTAACATTTCTTTTTCAGACGAGTGTAAGTTTTGTATTAAGTCAACTGATAATCGCCATAATTGTCGCTACTGGTCAGATGCAAATCCAAGAGTTTTCCACGATAATAATAATAAGATTAAAAGTAACTCTCGGTATACAATTAGACAAAACATCAAAATCTGTGGCGCAAAAACGAAAAACTGGGAGAAAATCTGAAATTAATGATACTATTGAATTCACTGGGCCAACTAATTTGGGCTAAGGCTAGTAAAACTCTATATGGCAAATGCCACTAAAAATCGTCTTTGCATAATATGCTCAATTTTGCATATTATGCTCAATTTTATTAATACAATATATACACACAACCAATCTTATATGGAATCACCCATTAATTACGAGAAACAGTATAATACTTCAAAAAAGTAAATTGAAAATAAAAAGCACCTTATTTTAACCAATTTTATTAAAAAAATATATTTAAACAAATTTGATATTGAATAATTACAAAAATCTGAACTTCTCTGAGAATAAACTTTATGGTAAATTAGAAATAATAGGTTTTTGTTAATTAAATAATCAGTATTGCCACCTTTAGCATCAATGCAAGCATTCGACGAGGCATGCTTTCTATTAAGATATGAATTTCTTTTTGGGAAATTTCCTCAGCCCTCTAAGACTGGTTTGTTCGTTTTTCTGTATTGCTAAGGCTGTTTTGACGAACTATAATCCTTCTTTTAACCTTATTCCACAAGTTCTTAATTCGATTAAGATCCAGTGAACAAAAATGCCACTCTAAAACGGTCAACCTTCCATTTCCAAACAGTTTTTGGCTGCTGGTAAATGGGGGTGCATTATCCGGTATAAATCACGGAAAGCACGTTTTCAGAGCCCTACTACGGGTTGTAGAACTAAATCCACATACCTTGGACCTCTTAGGGATTGTCCAATGAGAACCAAAGGAATGTTTTCACCAGTCATAAAGCCATCCCAAAACATTACCCATTCCTTTGCATTGAGGGATCGATCGTCCAGCTTACAGTCTAGCTTGTCTCCCACGACCCCTTAAAATACGAATTCACCCGTCGTCTGAGCGTAGGCCAATTCTGGATTTATCCGAAAATACGACATTTGTATAATCTTCGATTGTCCAGTTGTATTGCTCCAAATACCAATTTAAATGGCCAACTCTATTTTGCACTAATATTTTTGGAACCCTTAACTCTGTTCTGCGATTTTTTAAATTATACCGGATAATGCACCACCGCTGCAGCGCGCTAATAAGCAGAGTTGTCAAAAATTATTGAGAAATGGAAAGTTTGACTGTTTTAGAGTGGCCTTCTTGTTCAGTGGATCTTAATACAATTGAAAACTTAAGGGATAAGGTTAAAACAAGGATTAGAGCCAGTTAAAACAACCCGGCAACGCAGAGCAACTAGTAGAAGTAGTTTTATAGGGGTGGGAAAAAGTTCAACAAAAAGAAATAAATAACATAATAAAAAGCATGCCTCGTCGAATTCGTAAATGCATTGAGGCTATAATTGGAAATATATATATAGGGTGTCCCAGAATATGTGGGCAATCATCCGGATTTAGATAGAACAGATAAAAAAATCCATTTTCAACTGACACTGACATTATTATTTAAATCGGTAAATTAAAAAAAAAAACATTTCAAAAAAGATTAAAATAAATACTAAAAACCCTACTTTACAAAAACATTTTTTTTTTCATAAACAGCACATTTTATAGATGTTGATCAAGAGTATCTTTTTTTTAGTTTAAGGTTTAGGCTATCCAAAAATATTATTGTTGTGCCTTTATGATATCGGGTGTTAAAAAATAGCATTACTCTGTTAGTTATTAAATTCCACCTAGTAGTTTAAAAGTTATTTAAAAACAAACGATTTCTAGGGGTTTCGGTTGAGACCGTATCTTCGTAGAGGCCGTAGGAAAAAAAATATAGGAACTTGTCATATTATTTATGTGTTCTATTTATATATACTAAGAATAAATTAGAGAGGCTTTAAATCTAGACCTAAGAGAACAATATAAATTTTAAATCTAATATGTAATTTAAATGTATTAGTGAAGTTGGTGCAATTTTAAATTAAGAATCCCAGAGTTAAAGACGTAGAATTAATTACACATTGTATGTGATTGGAATATGGTAATTTTGAATAAGCTTTGTCAAATTTATAAAGATAATGAAAGGATTGTTTTTAAACTTTTTCTTAAATTTTTTGCATTTTTTATCTTTATTTTAAATAGTTACTGCACCATTCATTAATACAAATCGTATTCTATATTGATTGAAATCGGTGATGACAATAATGATACATTTTTAGGTCATCAGTTGTTAAATAACAGAGGTCCAAAATTTAAACCTGAAGAACTTGGATACCGGCGATGTAAAGCCTGATGTATAGATTGTCTTCCTTCCTTCCGCCCTTCCTCCCGTAAAAGATTAACAATACGAAAACCGTAGTCCGTTTATAGATTCCCGTACGGGATTGTATTGTTTATCTTCTACGGGAGGAAGGAAGGAAGGAAAGCAATCTATAAATCAGGCTTAACTATTAAAACGATAAAACCGTTATACATACTGAGACTTATTTTAAAGATATGAACCGAACAACGTAACAAGTTGTTGTTGTTGTTAAAGCCAACATCGCATTACCTCCAAAGTAAGATGGCATGATCAACCTGATTGAAAGCCTTTGAGAAATTTGTATACACAACATCAATTTGTCGTTTATTGTCAAATGTTCTAGCAATAAATTCTTTAAATTTTAAAAGGTAAGTAACTGTAAATCGACATAAAACCCTGTTAATAAATAGATGTAAGGTTTTTATCTAAATATTTTTTTTTACTTTTTTGTAGATTAGTTAATTTCCAACAAAAATACTACTCATTTTAAAATCCTTACTATTCTGCGAGTTATAAAATTTTAAAAAAATCTTTTAAATTTTGACCTACAATATTTTTTTAATGGCTAGGTTTACAAAAAACATAGGATACCTTTTTTGTAGAGCATTTAATTCCCTATTTATTGGGCTTAGCTTTATATTCATTTGTAAGTGAGATACAAAAAGGTTTTTTTATTGAATTAATGTGAAAATGGAAAATTGCAATAAGGAGGATCTTAGTAAAATAGATAGGATTATGCAAAACAACTAACTTTTCGACATTATAAGTCAAAAAAAGTACCTATAGTACATTTTTCCAGTTTTATTTAGTTAATTTTTTTCCAAGATCGCCCCACAATAATTTAATTTAAACCCTTAAACAAGTATAAAGCGAAAAAAAGTTCTTAATATTAAAACACAATACATTTCCCCTTTAAATAATATGGGTTTTTTCTTATTACATTTATTTTTTTCTCTTGTACAATTAAATATACAGCAATATCTAATACATATTTTTGTAGGAAATTAAACGCTTCACAAAAAAGCTTTTCGACCAATTTACAATAACGTATTCAAAAGTTAATCATTGTTAAAGTTGAGTCCAGACAATATGCACTAGGGTAGGGCAAAAAAGGTCGATTTTGAGCTACGGCAACGGGGTAGGTGTCAAAAATTGTGTTTTTACTTTAGTAACAACCCTGCAATCAATCTAATATGAAAAATACCTAAGTCTGTGGAGGGGCATTCCACGTTACTCGGTAATTTTTGTCCCGCCCGTCACAATTAAAAATTGTGAGTAAAAACCACAAGTTATAAAATTAATATTTTATAATATTATTTTTATTGTGCTTATAACTTATTAAAAGCATAATAAAACAATATTTTTAAATAAATTTTATAACTTGTAGTTTTTACTCACAATTTTTAATTGTGACGGGTGGGACAAAAATCCCCGAGTAACGTGGAATGACCCTGCAATAGAATTAATTTTTTAATAATTATGTAAAAAATTGGCAAATATAATAATATAAGTTAAAATAAACTTTACCTACATAAT